TCGCTCAGCCTCCTGAGATATTGTGTGCCAGAGAGGAGAGCGGTACAAACACTCAGCGATCAGTGATCGCTGAGTGTTTGTAAATAACTGAGGACAGAGTATGTTGATTATATCCTCAATTATTAATGAATGGGAGTGATCTACATCACCTCCTGTTCATTCATAATTGTAGTTATAGTAAACACACTCTGTCCTCATGTTATGAATGGACAGGAACACTCAGTATAGAGGATTCCTGTTCATTGATAACAGGGGATACAGAAAAATAGATTGAGGACTTTGTGTCATCTCTTTTTCTATTTTAAAAGGGAAATATCAGGGGTTGTTTAGACCCCCAATATTTCCCCAAAGCCCCTAAAAGTAAAGTAAAAAATGTAATAAAAAAATTAAATTTTTATTAAATTATTATAAAAAAATAAAAACATTTTCGGTTTCGGCCTGACAATTTTTTTTGTTTCGGTTTTTAAATGTCTATTTCTGTGCACCTCCTAGCCTTTTTTTTAGTTCACTTTCAACATTATTTGCAAACTAGGGGAAGCACACGTTGAACACATGCATATGCAGAGTTTAACTTCAGTGAACGTTGTATGCAGAAATGATTAACGGATCCAGAGACGCATGCAGTTGAAGTTGTATGCAAAGTTTAACTCTCCTGTAAAATTCAAGCATGGCCATGCCTCGCTTGCCTGCCAGACTGCTGTAATTTGTTGACTCTGTTTTGTCCTTTCCTAGATTTTGGCTTTTTTGATTAAGGGGTTTCTAAATCCGCTTCTGAACCAGGGTGCTGTGATTTTGCACATTGTCATGCGTTTCCATAGTGCAGGTGGGCTGGTTGCCAGCACCATGGAAAAGAATGATGCTAATCCACGGATGGTGGGGTCCATTTGGAAGCGGATGCAAATTCAGGTTTGATCTGCATTCCATCCTCCCTCTGTCATGCTACTGCAGCCACGAATTCTGATGTGATGCCAGGACTCCTATGTGAAAAGGTGGGGGCACCCTTGATGTGCGAGGGCTCCTGTTGTGAAAGGGAGACTTCTCATGTGCATGGAGGGACTCTGATGTGAAGGGGGCTCCTAATGTGAATGGGTGTCACACTTTTTTTGTTTTTGCATGGGTGTCCTCCCTTAAAATCCATACCAGACACCTATCTCCAATAATAGTCTGGTGTGGATTTTAGAGGGACCATATATTTTTTTAATTCTAACATTGTTTTTTTTACAATTTTAGACTGGGGGGCCTTGAGATTTTGCACTTCTTTATAATAGAAATGTATTAGTTTTTCACAAATAACAGCTAGTACACAAGAGGCAAGAACAGTCATGCGGTACAGTACAGTGTTGCATTGGGCTAGACTTCTGGACACAGACTCCATCAGTAGAACTGTCAATCCAGCTTGAAATGAAGCATATCGGATCCAATGGCCTGTTGAAGTCCCTTACACCTCGATGACCACCTTGTACCACAAAGAAAAGGAAAAGGCAACTATATCTGGAAATAGGAGAATGGGTAACAGAATAGAGAAAAGTAGTGAGAAAGCGATTGCCAGCCAGGGAGCGCAGCACGACCCAATATAGCGGGGGGGTGG